GGCAGCCAAGGTGGGAGCCCCTCAGCCCACAGTACCTCCAAAAAGTCCTCGCCCTCGCTGTGCACCATCTTGCCCTGGCGCCAGCGCTTGAGGAACCACTTGAGCTTCATGAAGAGCAGGAGGAAGCTCTGCCTGAACTGCTGGGACTCCTGCACCAGCAGGTTCTTCTCCTGGCTCCAGAACTTCTGCTCCAGCCGCCTCTGCAGGTTCAGGCTCTGCAGCTCGAACTCCCGCCGCAGCAGTGCTTTCTGGTGGTCCTCCTTCAGCTGCGGAGAGACGCGCGGGCTCCGAGACGGGGGCTGGCGGCAGCCATGTGGTGCCTCCACCCCAGGGTCTGGGCTGAGCCTGGTGCCGGCCCCCTTTTTAACACCCCTGGGGAGCTGCAACGCCCTGGCAGCCTGCTGGGGACAGCAGGGCCATCGAGGCTTCGCCACGGGTGGAAGCCCTGCATGGCTGCATGCCCCTGTGCAAGGAGGAGCGTGCTCAGCCCCTGTGCCCCCTGAAGATGGGGCACGCTGTGGGCAGCCCCAGGTGACGCCGGGGTCCCCAGGTGCGTCTTCAGCCTGGGGCCGGAGGTGGCATGGCTGTGGGTTTGGGGACGCCTGTCTCCCAGGGGTCGGGGCTGCTGCCTACTCACCTGGCAGATCTTCTGTGAGAAGTTGTCCACCTCGTCCTTCCTCAGCTGCCTCTCCTGTGAGAGCTGCTCCTGCAGTCCCCGCAGGCTCTCGTTGGCCTCCGACAGCACCAGCTGCAGCTCCTTCATCTGCAACGGCCCGGGGAGGGGATGGGGATGGTGGGCTGCGCCTGGCCGTGCCTCCCGTGTCCCTCCCCGAGGGGGCTCTGCAGCTTCCCCTGTCCCTGGCTCTCAAGAGGGACAGCCCCATCCCCGCAGCCCTGTCCCCAACCCCGCTGGCCGAGGGGACACGGCTCCCTGCCTGCGTCATACCTCAGTGGCGTAGGAGTCATTCTCCTCAGGCCGGCAGGTTTTGTAGCTCCGGGGATGCGTGGGGTCTGTGTCCTTGGCGTGGGGGATGCGGTAAGGGTCGGCGTCCCTAAAATCAGGCTGCTGCATGCGTGGGCAAGTTAATGAGAACAAACCAAAAGAGCGGGAAGAAAAAAAAGCCAGAAAACAAAACAATGGGTCTCCGAAACAGTAAAGAACTACAAGACAACAAAAAGGATGAGGAGGAGAAGGAGCTTCATCACCATGGCGGGAGACAATGCAGAAACCAAAAGGAAACACAGGATGAGGAGACACGTGGCCTGGATTGTTTGGGGAAAGGGGAAAAAAGAGAGAAAGAGGGAAAAAATGTGCAAACACCAGTTACGGTGCCATGCAGTGACTGGGGGAGACTGGGACCTGGGGCTGGTGGGACCACATGCAGAAAAATAGGACTCTGAACAAGCGAGTGTGCTCCAGAAAAGGGCGTGGGCCCGCGGCCCCAACCACCACTGATATCCCTGGCCCTCGGCATGAGCTGGGCTCCCCGGAGAGGAGCGGGACGGCAGGGCACGAGCTGCTCTCCGCTGCTCCAAAGGTGCTCCCCATCGGATGCAGATTTGCCCTGGAGCCTTTGCTCTGCAAATTACCCTGCCCGGGTACCACTGGGGCATGAGGCTTCTTGCAACTGGGGTCCCTGCAATTTGGGCTGCTTTCGGGAGGCTGCAGGCTGCTCTCCTCCCCCCCAGCTCATCCCCAATAAGCAAAGAGCTTCTGAGCCGGGGATGCTGGGCTAAGGCGGGGGAGAGCGGCCGAAACGTCGGCCCCTGCTAAGGTGGGATCGCACCCGAGAGCCCCTG